GTGTGTGTATGTTTGTTTGTTTGTTTGTGTGTGTGTGTGTGTGTGTGTGTGTGTGTGTGTGTGTGTGTGTGCTCTCAGAGAGACATGCGTGTCTGTATGTATGTCTGTATGTGCATGTGTATGTGAGTGTGTGAGTGTGTGTGTATGTATGTGTGTACGTGTGTCTATATGATAAACAAAAGCAGTTTAATAAACCATAAAAACTGTGATATTAAAGGTACCCGTACCGAGGACACATCCATACTCTCAAATGACCGCTTTTAAGGACAAGCGGGCTAACCCAGACTTCGGGGCTTTCCAGATATCTTGACCTACGCCAAAAATGGGCATTGTCGTACCTATAGGAGAAGTTTGGTTTCAAGTGTATATTTGTTTGGTTATACAGAAAAGTCTCCTTGTATTTTAAAGAAACTAAACAAGGGGCAAAAACTTGACCAATCGAAAGTAAAGTTTTTAACCTTTGTTCAGTTTCTTTAAAAGACAAGGATAGTTTTCTCGAAAACTAAACAAATATACACACCAATGAAGCCAAACTTCTCCTATAGGTACGATAATGCCAACGTTTGGTTTAGGTAAAGATTTCTGGAAATCCCTAAAATCTGGGTTAGCCCACTTGTCCCTAAAAGCGACCATAACTGTTTTACCGGCACCGCCACAGTCGAGCGACCCAAACACCCCCAAAAAGCAAACACACAGTAAACTGAGCACATTGTAAGCTCATTGATAATATATTTCCAGCCTCAAACAAAATAAGCAGAAATGATTAATTTGCACTCCTACTGTTAGCAGAAAAGCAAGATATCAACGCATGGTTTACATACCCTGTAGCTTGAACTGCAATAACGAAGACTGGAGGGGAACACAGTCGTGTGCCAACTTCAGCTTTCTATAGAGCACAGTTCAGAATGTGTACTGTGACCTTTGGGCAACTGTTTGGTTCACTGATTCTGTGTGTGCTTAAGGCGGTACAGGAAGAGACGCTACACAAGGGGACGTACGTACGACAGTTTCACGCCGAGAGTACCGGTACCCTGGTCTATTTTTGTGGTGGCCTCAGCAGCTTAGACGCTGACCTGTTCCACGCGCTCATTAGAGGGTTATATCTACGGGTATATACCTTCAACAGTGTTCACATGCACTAGAAATAATTGTGTTGTACAATAGTCGACCAATGACGGTGTGAACACGTTTGAATTCAAATTTTAAAGCAATGGTTTTAAAGAAAGAGACGGGTGAAGGGAAAAAAGCCTTCCTTATTGGGAACAGTTCAGGAATTTCAGGGGGCAGTAGCGCAATGATTACGGCATCGGTTCCGATTTAGGTCTGGGGATCGTGATAAAGGTAAATTTTAACCGTCGCTGAAGAATCAAGCGCTCGCCAATTTTTTTGGCTTATGGAGTTATCGGTATAATCTTAAAGTCTACCCATTTACCTTGCCTTCGGTGAAAAAACTACACATCTATCTTGAATTGAAGGTATTTGCTTTTAAAAGAGATGGGGGTCACCTGACTTTAGAAATAGAATAAGGCAAAAAATAACCTCCGAAGTTTGGTGACTTCCAAAGCTGAAGTATCCTTGGAAACTGCAAATTTACTTTTTTTGTGCTCGTGATCAAGACTTTTCAATAAAAATCTATACAGGAATGTGTTTTTGAGTGGACACAAAATGTTTTTAGTCCAAATACTTTAAAAAAAACCAAAATCGATAATAATTGCCGAATTGGGTGGAAAAATATTCGTTTCCTCGTTTTCATTATCTTGACGAGCGCATGTTTTCAGCACGATGCCTCACAAATGCAGTGTCACCGGAGGTTTGACCCTAACTGTGGACAGTGTAAACAGAACACGCCCAAAGCGATAGAGAGGTACAGCAATAGAGAGAGCCAGGGATCGGAGGGAGACTCGTTATTAGAAATGACCGCCCTGAGTTCTTCCTTTTTATTTAGTTATTTATTTATCTTTTCCTATTTTTGAGTTTTACGGCGCTGGCAACTGCATAAGGTTATGTGAGGGGGTGGAGGCACAAGTTGGTTATTTCCACATTAAGCATTTTCAGTTTGGATAGGTATTGATTTTGAATATTGTCCCGGGCGGCGACCGAAGCCTACTGTTATTGATTTCAGGACCACCTAGGAATGTTTGACGGGCTTAACGTGCATATGGAAATTCCGAGATTGGACCTGTGTTCGTTTCTGTTGGATCAAAACAATGGTGAAAGGTGTCCAAGCGACAGTCAGTGCTTCTTGACCTCTTTAAAATGTCCAGACTTTATAGTGCATTTGTCCACGTCTCTTTTGTTCTCCAACTCTCCCGCCCCCTTTCTCCTTCCCAGCCTCCCTTCTGTGTATTATGTTTCTGTAGGAAGATGACAACATGGATGTTAGTGCTTTCACACCTTGGTTTGGTATTTCCCACTGTAATCAAGAATTAGACACTATTGTATGTACGGTGGTTTTCCGTCCAAAAAAAATCTGTTGTTGAAAAGATATAATAACGCCTGCTCACATAATTCCTACCTGTTATTTAGTTGCCCACGGTAAATAATTAAAAACTGTCGTCATTTTCTCTTAACATATTATTCATCATCATCATCCAGTGCCAGATCTGCGACAGAAATCGGCGATCATGATTTGCCATGCATTCCTTTGCTCGGATGCTATCAGAAAAGCTACGTTTCCCTGATCTTTCCCTGTTACAAATTTTGTTTAGGTTCCCTAAGTATGTT